AAAGCATCCAAATTCTATATAGTTACTTGGAACAGAATAATGACATAGAAGTAAATAGTCAATTTGTTTCAGGATTAAGAAATTTAACATGGAAAATCAGTAGAAAACAAGTTACTTCGTTAAAACAAACTAGCATGCATTTATTTAAACAAGCAATAGTAATAGCAAGTTTGTCATTCTTTTATCTGTTTATTTAATTATCCGAATATAACGAAGCGAATGCATCTTATAATAATAACATGAAAGGAAATTGTGTTACGAGGAATCCTATTGGTCTCTCGGATTCCTCGACTCGATAAGTCGGACAGCCATGCCCAGCCAGTCGTGGTACTCCACCAAAAATGTAAATAATAATAACAAGCTGGGTTCACTTCGTGCTGATGTCGATCTTAAATAAATCTAAATCCGGGTCAAATTTACAACACTAAATCCGAAACATAAAGAAAAAATTTAATCACGAGGCGCGACTTCAACTACTTATTATGCAAGACTTTGTTGGAGAAAAGCCTTTGACTGCTCATGTCATCAGGCAGAAGAATCGTATGGCGGAATGTAGTCACTCGAAAGACGAAAGAGTGGTATTGAATGTTGGCGGTATAAAGGCATGCATTTACTTTTGCCCTTCGAGAAATGAAGACAAACAGCTTTAGAGTTCAAGGAAGACTATGTACCCTCTTGCACTCATATCTCTCTGTTCTTAATGATTTCTATGCAGTACGAAACATACAAGTCGACGCTGATGGCATATCCAGAGACCCTTCTCGGTACAATGTTCCAGGATCGCAACAATAACTTATTACGACCTACCAACGACAACGAATACTTTTTTGACCGAGATGGTCATATATTCCGGTATATCATGCAATATTATCGTACTGGTGAAATTGCTTGGCCCAGACGTACTAAAATTTGTGACCCCTGGTTTCAAGATATCAGTGGCACAGAGCTAAAGCGTGAGCTTGACTACTTTCAGATACCGACGACTGGTATAGGATTGATTCTTGATGACGACGACCTATCTTTTGAAAGAGCTGCTGCCACACGAGTTGATGACTTTATGAATGCGTTGAAGGAAGCTCTTTTTGAAACAATAACTAATTTCAAGACAAAAGTTGGAATAACGTTTAACTGGGATCGATCAGAGCCTACTGTGAATCCACGTATCGAGAGAGTCATCACAATAGTCGGGCCATTTGGTACGATTGGTTATCACATATTACATATGTTTGGCATGGAGATCGAAAAGTATCTGCAGACTTTATTTCCGCAACTCGAAGTGCGAATTGATAAATTCTTCACGGACACACCAAGAGCGTATGTTAATGTCTACATGTATTCTAATAATCCTCTAGACCGGAATAAGATTCTTAATTATTCTTGTCTTGCTGAACGAGAATAGGAGCATGTTAATGTTAGGTTATGTGTGCATATAATTGATGTGATTACCTGATACCGTTGTTTTCTTTTCTTTTATATATAGGTAGACATTCAAGTTATTGTCTGATAATTCATGTATATTCAACTTCATAATTTTGCGTTTCCCATGTATATTACAAAAAAATCTGATCTTAGAATAGAACTTTGATCTCTAGAGGTTATTCTGACTTCTGAAAAAATAACGGATCGTTCTTTATTGGTGCATCCAGCAATTAATAAAGATCAATGATGCATCTTATCGTATCGTATCTTAATTTGGATGGCCTTTGTGTGTTGAGCTTTATCTAAGAGAAGCCTTTTTATCAACATGAGCTTCTTGTCTAACGATTTAATTCAACAGCAGCGTACGATTCCATAAATGCTTAGTGAGACAATAAGGCTAAACATGGTTTTTTCTTGGTCAAACTGTTTACCGGCTGTGCAACCAATATTTAAACTAGAACAATCCCATGTCTACTTTATCGCCAAACGAGCGTCAGAGAAGAAGTCGTTCAAATAACGATGATCCAACAGTTCGTCTCTCTAAAGCACTGTCGTATGTCCTAAGGCATGGTGCTAAGAAGGAAGGAATATCCATGCGCACTGATGGCTATGTGCTCTTGAATGAATTGGTAGGTTGTCAAAGTATCATTAATCGTTGCCATAAGATTACTACTAAATTTGTTAAAAAACACAGTTGAGTTTACCCCGATTTACAAAGACCACATTTGAAGAAATTGAGACGGTTGTGAAGACTAATGACAAGCAGAGGTATTCGCTTGTCAGTGAGGTCGATGAGACAACAGGAGCTGCTACGTGGTGGATAAGAGCAAATCAGGGACACACGTTGAACGTATGCGAGTGCTTTTTTCCTAGATCATGTATGCAAGTAAACCAGTCTAACGAACATTGAATACTTAAGGTTGAAGATTTGAAACTTGAAACAGTTACGGATCCTGCACAAATTCCTATTGTCGTCCATGGCACTTATTTGAAGAATTGGCAAAGCATAGGTAGCAATTGTCAATATCTTTCCCCTGACACAAAAGAGTGACTATCATTATTAAACTTGTTTCATAATAGCATCACAGGGGCTTTCAAAGATGCGTCGCAATCACATTCACTTTGCTGTGGGTTTACGTGGAGAATCTGGAGTCATAAGTGGTAATACATCTTAACTCATCAAGTTCTTTATATATCTCCAGCTGATGAACAATAACTCTTTGGTTTTAATACAATTTAAAAGGGATGCGAGCAGACTGCGATCTATTTATTTATATTAACGTACAAAAGGTTATCGCAGGTTTGGCAGTTGTTATTAATGTCTCAATTTGATCTTGTTAATGTCATATTCTCATAATCAACATTTAAACAGATGGCATAGAAATTTACAGATCGGAGAATAATGTCATTCTTACGTCTGGCAGGGATGGAATCTTGCCCCCGGAATATTTTCTAAAAGTCGTCGATAAATCGGGCAATGTTTTACTTTAAACGAAACGCAAGTACTTTCCGATGCTGTCAGCGATGCTCTGGATACCAATTATTAACTTTCAGTAATAATAAATCATGCAATAGTCAGGGTCTTTTACTTGCCAAGTAATGTGGTCTTGCCTACTCCTTTAAGACCAGTAGTTGTATGAGGTACGTCGGATATGATAGACATCGAATCATTGCTCAACGCGCTATTATTTTCAAGACCTGCGATAAAATCGCGATAATAATAGACCGATTTATACCTTGTCTCTTGCGGTAAAAATACAAGCGATTGACATCTGTAGCAACGTTTTCATCGGAAAAGTTTTGACAATATATTTATTTCTCAAAAACGCACATAACAACTTTAAAATAAACCCATCACATCTAGAATCCCATACAAAAAACCCCATGTTAATGTATGGTCCAGACATTCTTACCACGAATATTTGGATTCACAGTGTTATTTCACAAAATCTACCACCAAGTACCTTTTCCGGTGGAATTTTTCTGCATAACCAAGTCACATCTACTGACATTGTTATGGTAGGTATATGTATAGATAATAATTACTCAAACCCACGATACGTGACGTTCTAGCGACTTTGCGACGTATTGTTGTATCGATGAATTTCACATAGTAACCGTACTGAATATCGTATATTGATATTTTATACACACGTTAATGATAACTGCAATGATGTAAGTTATATGAGCATTGGATTCTTGATTATGACAAAACCCGATTTCGCGTCTTTGGAAGAATCAAGCGAATCGGTATATCGAAATTTAAACCATACTTAATATTCTGTGTCAATTTTAGTATACACCTCGACAACAGTTATGTTTAACAAGCATATAAGTTACATGAGTATTGGATGCTTGGTTGTTGCGCTATTCCGGATTATGACGAAAATCGATTTCGCGTCTTTGGAAGAATCAAGCGAATCGGTATATCGAATTTAAACCATACTTAATATTCTGTGTCAATTTTAGTATACACCTCGACAACAGCTATGGTTAACGAATGTGTGAATTTCATAAACATATGATTATTGTTGTTGAGTTATTAGTGATTGATGACGAAGATCGATTAACATATAACTTCTTTCCAACAGACCTTATTTATGTCTGTGGGTATTCTTCCTAAACGTCTCATCAGCAAAGTGGTGAGGAACTTGTGTATTCTATTTAATACATCCTCTCGATCGTCGGGAGACAAAAGCTGTTATTTGCGTTTTCGAAGAATCAAGCCAATCTGATATTAGATATGGCTTTTGCAATTATTTATTTTCTAGATGTATTTAATAATAATGTTTGATTTGGAGTTTTGTGATCGTTTACTTTAAGAATAAGACGATGCGATCCTTACATGAGTTATAATAATCATACTGTATACATGGTTGGGTTGAGCCAGCAGCTTAGACTTTAAAAGGTAAACGATTCGAGTGCTGTTCGAGTCAATAAACACAAACTCAGCATTCGTCCTCTTTTAATACATTATTACGACTAAGCAGCTATGTTTCTTTCAGTGAACAGACGTCCATTAATCAGCAAGATCTTAGTGAATATTATTACCCAAATCCATTCATTTGAGATGTTTTCGTTTTCGTTTTCAAAAAAAGTTTTATTTGGTAAATTTACAAAATAAATTATCATAAATGCTTCGGACTTAGATTTCGGTAGAGCTGCGAAATGACCATCATCCCGAACTACTCTATCTCAGTACTGCAGAAATCACTTGATCAAATCGCTGTTCCCCTCTTTAATAGCGGTTGAACCGTTCTTGAAAGATCTCAAACTGTGCCAACAGTTTGCTCTTCGGCTCTTCCGCTCCCAGCTCTAGACTACACTCTAAGCCCTCTACTCTATTAAAACTAATGTAAGTTCAACTAGTTAAATCTATGTTTCTACTTTCACCCTCCTCAAATGCCATTTGATATTCTAACTTAGATCGCTCGATTCTTACGCGGGGCCGGACTGGTTCTTTCTTACACGGGCGGGTTCATTCTTACTCTTACGCGGGGCCGGGCTGGTTCTTTCTTACGCGTGGTTCATTCTTACGCAGGGCCGGACTGGTTCATTCTTATGCGTGGTTCTTTCTTACGCGTGGTTCATTCTTACGCAGGGCCGGATTGGTTCATTCTTACGCGTGGTTCATTCTTACGCGTGGTTCATTCTTACGCAGGGCCGGGCGGGTTCATTCTTACGCGTGGTTCATTCTTACGCAGAGCCAGGCGGGTTCATTCTTACACAGGGCCAGGCTGGTTCATTCTTACGCGGACCAGACACAGAGTATATCTATACGTTAGCCGCCGTAATTGAGTGTAATATGGTCGCCGAGAGTAAGGCCTTATGGTGTGTGCATGGTATGTTATGTGTGTATGGTGCGTGTATGGTATGGTATGAGATATTCAAACGTTGTAGTTGAGACGGTGTATGCGCGCGTTACTGGTGTTAGTATTTATTGTCGTGTCCGTGTTTGAAGAGGATGAAGAGATGGGAGGTTCCATTAAATATGACTAATTTTTTTCTCAACGATAATCAGATCAGATCAGCTTCACATGAGAATTTAAAAATAGTAAATTACATGTTGTATTACTATAAATGTAAATCATCATGTGTTCTGTTCGTCTCACCCCTTATATCCGTTTTTTACTTTCTCCCAGATCATTTTCCCAGTGCGAAAGAAACGAAATGCTAATTATCGTTATTGTGATTACTATTATGCCATTAAATTCAACGAACATTTCAAAATGCTATTACTATGATGCAAAAAAACTATTACTATTGCTATTAGTATGGCAATAATTTTCTGCTTTTCACTGTCAATACAGTCCATTCTAAGGAAGAGATTTTGTAAACCCCTGCAGCAGTATATTGCGGTTTCCCACATTCCATATAATACCGTGATAAATTTGATCGACATATGTTATATCACTTGTCACATAATGTCCCTAAAGTTGAGACGTAGAAATAAATAATTAGTTGCGAACATGCCATTCACCATCACAAAATCTAACATTGGAGAGACAGATAATGTCAGTTTGTTAATATT